CCTGAAATTGAGATCCTCCTGCCTCAGCCTCCAGTGCAGCTGGGATTACAGGTGTGCACCACCATGCCTGGCTCATGGGTCTCCCACTAAATCCTTAAATTCAAAGTAGACCTGAAGCACAGGAGTTGGCAGACCCACTCGGGGTTGAGTGGACAGGGAGTGGTGGGGAGCCCAGGGTGGGGGCCCCAGGATTAACTCTCATGTTCTCCTGCCCCCTCCAGGCTGACTGGACACCCCGTGCTGGACATGTGGGACTCACCATGGAGAGGATGACCAGGGCCGGGAAGAAGCCCATCACAACGTAGCAGAGCAGTTCCACGAGCTTGTACCTGGCAGGAAGAGAAGCCGTGTTGGCCTCAGGACGAGACTGCCCACGAGGAGACCGTTTCCTGCTCCCGCTGCTGGGGAGAAGGGGTGCCCTGACCAGGAAAGGGAGAAGAAGGGACCCTCTCTGCAGCACTCCTTGGCCCAGCTTTGACCAACTGCATCTCCGGGCAGTCGTGTGGCTTTGGGAAAATCTCTTTCCCTCTTGAGACTCAATTTCCACACTTACAAAATGACATGCTGGAGCTGGACTAGGGACAGCCAATATCAGAGCAAGCACATGCGCTCTCCCCAGGCTCAGTCCACAGCAGACATTACTATTCACCCCAGCATCTCTTCCCACAGGGCACAAACAGCCAGTCTCCATCGAGTGAGTTACTCGATCCATGAAATCTGGGTGCCATCCTGGACACTCTATAGAGTTCTCATCTGCTGACACAGTCCAGGGAAGGCAGGTTAGAGTGACCCAGTTCAATGGGCCTAGCAACCTGTGATGTCTTTTTGAAAAATTATTCAAATTGAATCTGTGGTCTGGGGGGCTAGGTCCAGTCTATGGGCCTGGACATTGGGGGTGCCAGGCAGAGCTCTGCTCTCATTTTCTGGGGTCATCCTGGGGTCTCATCTGCCTAGGACACTAGGAGGCTTCCAGAAGCACCCCAACCTCCAACTCCCAGCCTGGGCTTACCGCTCATGGAAGAAGAAGACATAGATGGTGCCCACAGAGGCCATAATCCAGACCAGCCACCGCATGTGGGAGGCCCAGGGACCCAGCTCCCGAAGGTTCAGCCTGGGGGAGAGAAGCCGAGGGCACAGGCTGGGGGAGGTCCATTGGGACACAGCCCTCCACAGCTGGCCTGCTGCAGGAAGCTGACCCCAGAGAAGCCCTGTCCCCTGCAGCTGCCCAGGCAGGACAAGGATTCTCCGTGGAAAGGAAGAAAGGACACGGTAATCCCAGCAGCTTGGGAGGCTGAGGCAAGAGGATCGCAAGTTCAAAGCTAGCCTCAGCAATTTAGCAAGACCCTGTCTCTAAATAAAATATAAAATAAGGCTGGGGATGTGGCTCAGTGGTTAAGCACCCCTGAGTTCAATCCCTGCTACCATAAAACAAAAAAAGGCACTAACTATATTGAAGGGGCAAACACTCACAGGCTGAGGATCCCTCATCTAAAATGCTTGGGACCGGAAGGGCTTCAGATCTTGGAATATTTGCATATGCATAATATGGGATGGGACCCAGGGCTAAACTTAGAATTCACTTATATCTCCTAGACACTCATGCACATGGCCTGAAGGTGAGGTTGCACGATATTTTTAGTGTTCCAGTGTTTGGGCTCATGTGTGGTCACGGGTGGAATTTTCCTTTCATGATGTCCCAGAGGTACTCACAAAATTTGGATTTCAGATTTCCAGTTTTCAGATAAGGGGATGCTCAACCTGGATCAGAGGGAAGTTGGCAAAACAGGTCATGTCCAAGAGAGAAGCGGAGGAGCACCTCAAAAGAGTGGGACATCAGGGGGTGAAGCATGTTCAGGGGGAAATTTGGTAGAATCCATAGAACTTTGCAGTTTGCATCCCCAGGATTCCGGTTCCAGCCGAAAGCCAAGGAAAGAGTTGTGTGCTCATTACCAACCTACTGCCGGATCCATCTCTGCTCCTTTTGCCTGCACTGGGATAATGCAGCTGGGCCTTGGGAATAGCCTTCCTTTGTAGAGGGTGCAATATTACGTTTTGGCAGTAGAGGGCGGTGGGGAGCCGCTCCTCTGCAGGAGGCTCTTCCTCCTGGCTCCCATAATCCTCTGGCTTTTCTCCTGCCTTGCCCAGCCCTGTCTTTCTCCAGTGCCAGGTGCGCGTGAGGCACAGCTTTTAGCACCTGGCTTCAGTATGATTTAAGTAACCACAGCACAGCCAGGGGACCCAGACAGAGCAGGCCTGGTCTGTGCTCCGAAGAGTCACTCCCTGAATGGTGTTCTCCGCCCTGCACACGTGCTTGGGGTTCCCACAGCACTTCCCATGCAGCAAGCTGACCATCTAGCTGCCCCCAGGGTCCCTGCAGAGGGACCACTCCAATGCTGTTCCAGCAGCACACAATGACCCCCAGCATGGAGCAGGTGCTGACTCAGCACCTCCCAGTGGATGGCCTCCTCTGGCATCTTGAGGGCCAGGTGCCAGCAAGTCACACCAGTGGGATCTTCACCAACATCTCTGTCACCCCATGTACTGAAACTGTGCCCTCTCAGGAAAGGTGAGATCCCAGCCCTGGGCAGAGGGCTCTTCCTTGGGCATCAGAGCCCAGCACAGGTTTCAGAGGTAGTTGTGATCTCTTATAACTTTACTACCACTGTTCTTTAGAATTGTCTCTTTTTTTTGGGGGGGGGTACCAGGGATTGAACTCAAGGGCACTCGACCACTGAGCAACATCCCCAGCCCTATTTTGCATTTTATTTAGAGACAGGGTCTCACCAAGTTGCTTCCCACCTTCCTTTGGCTGAGGCTGGCTTTGAGATCCTCCTGCCTTAGCCTCCAGAGCCGCTGGGATGACAGGCAGGCGCCACTGTCGTGGCACCCCGTCCTCCACAGAAAATCTTAATGAAGCTTCTCCAGAAACCCTCAACATAATTGTCCTTAGACTCACAGCAAAGATCCTGCAAAAGAATTTTCAGGCAGGGGGTATGCTTGCAGCCTCAAGAGTTGGAGAAGAAAAAGTAACTAGGGCCCAGCCGGCACAGAGGCGTTTGCATTTCAAAGGACAACAGTCAGGCCCTGTGGAGGAAGCTGTGGGAGAGAAAGGGAGGCAAACTCTCCCTTGCTTGGCCGCTGGTTTTCCCAGAGAGTGTCCTTGATTTTGTATCCTGGCCTGGGTGGATTTGCCCAGAACAGGGGAAAAAAGCCGCTTTTGTGTGGACGTCGGCAGATTGTGAGCCTCTGAGCCCCTCCCCCTACACACTGGGTCTCAAGTTCTGAAACTTTCTGAACTTGGGGTTCAGAGGGATGGACTGATTGGAGCGAAAGCTTTTCCCCTGTGGACCTGGCTGCAGCCAATAAACCTGCTTCCTGCTAATTCCTCCATGTCCAGCCCTGTGGTCCTACAATACCACCACATCCGGCTTAAAGCAGTCTTTTATTCTTATTAGCCAATCCCCTGCCACTTCAGTAATCCATTAATAATTCTTAATATTGGGGCTGGGGTTGTGGCTCAGTGGTAGAGCACTCGCCTAGCACATGTGAGGCACTGGGTTCCATCCTCAGCATCACACAAAAATAAATAAATAAAATAAAGGCATCATGTCC